AAAAATAAAATAGCAATTTGAAACATTAATGCTATGCTAGGAAATAACAGGATAAGGATAAGGCAAGGCGTCCTATATATGAGCCCCTTCTAAGCTTGTATTCCCATTTCTGCTCCCTCCACCTTTTTATTTTTGTACATCCACCTTTTTATTTTTGTACAAGGGTGTGTGTGAGAGAATGAGCAGAGAAATAACCTCCACACAGTTGGCAAGGAAAGAAAAGAGAATGGAACAGAAAGCCTGGGTGTGTCATGTAACTGACAAAAGTAAAGTAGTATAATCTGCAGATGTGCAATCATTTGCCAGAAATGATGTTAGCAGATACAATCTTTTCAAAACAAACATATTAATGGACTGATTTTAAAGAGCACTACTAAGAAATCTGAAACTTGAAGAAAATGGATAAACACCTACTGTATATGCTGTAATAAAACCATGCTTATTGCCTAATTCTAGCTTCTCCCCAGCTCCTTTGTGTAATTTTATGATCATTTTATGACATAATCAGATCCTAGTTGCTGAAAGAAAACTGCACAGGAAATTAATGGCACAGCCTTCCAAAGTTCATGGGATAAAACAACTGATTTATGTCAGAAGAAGGAACCTTTAGGCCCAAGTTCAGTAACCAGCTGCAAATGAAAAGCGGGCCTGGTCTCCACTAGGAATATAACATCATATTTGCTTCCAACAACTGGTGTGCCCTTTAAAAAAAAATTGGAAGAGAGAAGTTAGTAAGGAATAACAGCAGTTTCTGATAGGATACCCTAAGTTACAGGCTTGCATCTCTCTTGTGTTCCTTCCAAGGAGTATCTGTGCCAACAGAACAGCACAGTAAATAATAATATGTAAATTTCCCCTCTGCATTTCAGGCCACAAGGAGACCAAGACTAATAAAAATAGTTGCCAGGTAATGTTTTGGAGTTAATTCTTCAGACAGAGAGACGTGTGTGTTGTGTGTGTGTGTTCCTGTGTATGCCTGTGCCTTTGTTAAAAGTCTTTCGATTTTCAATCGGTGAGCAAACTGGATGGTTTCCAAGATGATCCAAGCTTTGGATTACAACAGTGACTCATGTTCTTTTTAAAAGGACGGGGAAACATTCCCCCCCTCCCCGAATTTTCAGACTAATGGACAGAAACAATACAACATTCTCATTTCCAAGGTTCTTTCACACTTGAGAGAAAAAAGAACAAATTGACAAAAGCCATGTAATTTGCCAAGAAGCATATACACGTCATAGAAGTTTCCAGGAGAGTCCAAACAACTTTGTTCTGATATGTAATATATTACAAGGCTATTGGAAGATAGTATTTAAAAGGCAACCTGATTTAATTCATTTCCTCTGAACTTGAAAAGATGTGCCATTTTCTAGGCTGCTTGTTGGTTGGGAATAAGATATTGAGATTTGCTGACTCCATATTTACTTGAGACACAGGAAATTGAATCAATGTCCTATGTCTCAAGAGAATATGGGATCAACATTTCCAGTATTTTAAAACAAAATGCACAATATTCAAGCATGGGACCAACTATCCAGTGAATCACCTCCGTTTGGATGTACAGTATTTGTATGTCATTTTTGGAAAACTTGTAAGATTTCATTCATTTAAGAAAAATGAAGGTGGACTTCAGCCATGCAGGTAATAGCATAGCACTATAGCCCTCTCTAAGTGGCTTACAGAGTCATCATATTGCCCCTAACAATCTGGGTCCTCATTTTACTGACTTCAAAGGATGGAAGGCTGAGTTAACTTAAGCCTCAACATATGATCATTAGTAATTTTAATTGCTAGGCAAGGTAGTTAAGTGAATTGCACCTGATTAGACAACCTTTTTTGTAATGGTTGTTAAGCAAATCACTGTCATTATTAAATGAATCATTTGTTAACTGAATCTAGCTTCCCTCCCCAATTGACTTCGCTTGTCAAAAGGCAGCTGAAAAGTTCGCAAGTGGTGATCCCATGACCCCAGGACATGGTAAATGTGGTAAATACGTGCTGTTTGTCTGAATTTTGATCACATAACATGATTGTGGGATGCTGCAAAAGTCCTAAGTACAAGAATTATGTCTGTTCTCCAATCTATCTTTAATGAAATGCAACATGCCTTTTTTTCTTTAAGCTATCCCTTTTTTAAACTAAAAAGATATATTGATATTATAGCAATAACATCACAGCAACTGTCCCCAAAACTGAATTAAGATTTCAATCTCACAAGCCTTTGGGGAATCCGATCAAAACAAGAAAAAAAGTTAACATTAATTCTACTTGACCTTTCTATAACACAACGTTATATCTAAAGTTTCAGATGTTCTTTCAGTGATATTCTCCCCAAACGAGGCTTCAGGCTTAAGACAGTATTCTAATACTTGACCATTTAAAGCCAAAATGGACAAGAGGACTCCATTAAAATAATTTTATAGCAAAATTTGTTTATATTCATAATAGATATAATACATATATCCTCATAGAAAACCTGTCATTCTGTCAAAACTGCTCTATCTAAACTTACAACGTTCTAAGTTTTTTGTTTGGAACTATTAGAAGATGCTTTTGTGCCAGTACTGTGTTTTCTTAGAATTTCTGTACTGCTTTGTTAAAAAGAACTCTATTTATAATACAAACTGTTGTAGACAAATATAATAAGAATGTAATGTAATATGAGTTATTTAATGAAAAGTTACATACTAATACCAAACTTTTGGACTTTCCAATTTGTGATTTGTGAAATGAAAGGCAAAACAAACAGAACTCCATTTATTTTACTTTAGGGAATTTAATGGAGAAATGTATCTGTTTTAATGTTTTCTTATAGGACATTTGATGTTATATTGCATTAATAACTGCAATATTAAGTTCTCCATTACCCATGCCTTCATGACAATTCTGCAATACATATGTAAATTCACCTTGTAATTTGGAATAATGTACAATTATAGATAGGAAAAACTAATATAGAAAATGATGTGTGCTTCTTTAGGGGGTTACTATATATGTGTGTGCATGTGTGTATGTGTGTATGTGTTCAGAACAGACACTTTTAGAGGAAAAACACAACTGAAACAAAACACTAGTAAAAGCAAGAAGCCAGCTAATTTTTCAGAGTACAGCTCTGAAATATGGATACGAAATCTATTTGTTGCATCTATAGTTAAGCCTGTGAATATGTATGACAAAGAATGATGTAAGTGCACACACATAATTATTTATGTTTATCAATGGAATGCTTTATTTTACAGATACTTTACATTTTAATCAGTTGCTGTTAATTCATATGTATGTATATTTGTAAGTATATTCTGACTTTATACCTATGTATATATACACTACATTAATGGAGAGAAAAATGTCAATTGCAGTTGAGCCAACTAGATTAAGAAGGTAGAGAAGACAGTCTTTGAATGTGTCTATAATTATTGTTTGGTATACTCTGCCTTTATGTTGTAGATTGACTTAATTCAGTCACATCTAATATAATCCTAATCTTCTTTACTTCTCTTACATATTTCTCCTACCACTTTTTTTAAAAGCAAGTAACTACAAAACACAAAGGTCTTATAAAAGGGTTTTACTTACTTTTACTTATGAATAGAAAGGATTTTAAAGCAATTACTTAAAACTCTAAAAATGTTGTAAATGATACCGTGATTTTCCAACAATACAACCTCCCTCAATAGGAAGTCCCAGCATGTTTTATAGGCATAAAATGAAATTAAGCCCCTCCCCCCAAATTAAGGCTTATTTTAAAATATTTGAAATGGGGGGAGGGGTGGGGGGCTTGCAATTAGGAGCGCCCCGTGGGCACCCATGCCTCGCCACCAACCTCCCTACTGTCGCCAAGTACTTTTGCTGCACACCCGGGTATGGTGCTACCTGCGTTGACCTCGGCGTTGGTGGGGCACTTCGTATTGGGAGAACTTCCACCACCATTGCTTTCCCTTGTCCCAGTGCTGCTGCGGCATTTGGAGCATCACCGCAGCGTTTGGCGCAGCCACGCGGGGCCGGCCAGGGCTCCTCCCTGCAGCTGGAGCCTGGTGGAGACATTCAGCTTCAGGCGCTCCTGTCACCGCCTTCCCAGGCATCGTTCGAAGGCAAAGCCCATTTTTCGAGGGCCCACCTGTCAGCTGCGCTGGGCGCCCCAGGCGAAGCTCTTCACACTCTGTCCAACTCCAGGCAGGGATGGCGGCTGGGCGCTTCTCCCGGGGTGGGCTGATCCTGCACTGCAGCATCGGAAGATTCGCCTTCCCACGTGGGGTTCTGCTGCCCTCTCGGGCAGGGGAGGCTTTGTCATAGTAGGGCGTCGTTTTTAAAAGAATGGGCTTTGCCTTTGAATGATGCCCAGGAAGGTGGCAACAGGAGCGCCTGAAGCCGAGTGTCTCCGCCGGGCTCCGGTTGCAGGGAGGAGCCCTGGCCAGCCCCGCGTGGCTGTGCCAAATGCCATGGCGATGCTCCAAATGCCGCTGCACCATGGGGAGAAGGGAAAGCAATGTTAGTGGAAGGTCTCCTGATACGAACTGCCCCACCAACGCCGAGGTCAACATCCAAGCCGTTGCCGCCTGCCCGCTCGAGGATGCAAGGGGGGGAAATTAAGTTACCCCCAAAAAGATGGCCTAGCCATTTTTTCGGGGTTCAAAAAGAAATAAGACTTGGCCTTATTATATGAGAAAAATGATATTTTAATACAAACCTTAATACTTCTATGTCTCCAGCAGGTCAAAATTAAAATAATGTAACCTTTGAATATTTGTATGCAAAAGAAGTTGACTTCTTTTGAATAAAAAGGACTATACTGGATCTGCTTAGTTTTTCCAGATGCAGCTAAATTAAACAAAAAACAAATAAATAAATAACCAGCAGGCTGCAGGAATAGAGGAAGAATGTCTCTAATTTCTACAATTCAAACCCAACTCGCAGCCAAAGTCAACATTAGAATAAAGTAGCAGCAGAAAATAGAAATATAGCCATCTAGACTATGGAGTATTTAGAAAAGATGCAATACTTACTACTGGAAGTAGCAAGTTCTTTTGGACTGGATGCCATTGGTTGAGCACACATTTGACAGAGACAGTCTCTTCCATTAAAAGTAACCCGGTCTCCTGGTGGAAAAGGACGTCTGGGAAACAAAAGAAGCATTTTAATGCAAGGATATCTCTGGGGTTACATTATCTTTCTCAGCTCCTTACCCCTTGTTGCCACCGCTGTAAAATCAGTCCTCGCAGAAAAAAGGGCCAAAGCATGTTTAAAATACAGTATTGGCAAAGATAGACATTTGGAGAAAATCCAAACACTAAATGTATCTCAATAAGGAAAAAATAATAATGATCAAAAAAACCCTGACAAATACATTTTTATTTCAAAGGTTTGCTTGTTTTAAAAAGCCCAGGCCTATATAAATGTTTTCATTAGGAAATGAAGCCTGTTGGAATGCTCAAACGAAAATCTTTAGAAATTTCTATTATTTTTTTCATTTAAAGTATATGTGATTAAATAGCTCATTTTTTGGCAATCAATGGAAGCAACAAATCCCATAATTTAAGCAGTTCTTGGTGTTTTAAACAAGCAGAAAACAGTTGTGCATTATGTATTTCCATTATTCGGAGCAAGCTCAGCTACATTTCTTTAGGAAAACAAGGGTGAGTTGATTAAAGTAGATACCATAGGAATGAACAAATTACAACAAAAAAATTAAATCAGAATTTTTGACACGAAGAAGTTTCAACCTTCAACAATAGCAACAAGATCCAGTTCTTCAGAAAGTAGACAACAGATAGAAATAAGAATATCTACCTTATAACAAGTCAGATCAATGGTCCATCTAATGGTCCATTACACTTAGTCCATTGGCTAAGGCTCTTCAGAGTTTCAAAGCCTTTTATTTCTGCAGTGCTATCCAAACTCGTTGAGAGGGTAAGGACAATAATTGTTCTCGATACCCCATCATTTAAATAAATTTAAATATTTGAAAGTATCACATAAATAAAAATACATTTTGTTTGTGAGTCAAAACTCAAAAGATACACCCAAAGATACTTCAGTATTTTTTTTACTGAGATTATAAATAGAGAATGTAGTGTGAAAAAAAAAGGACATTCTAAATTTCCAGGCGTTAAACACACCACCTGCACACTTAGACAAAATGTTTTTTCCTCTAAAAGACTAATGAGAATCCTATAGACTTCCATAATCTTATGAAAATTTAGAGCCAATTATCTCAATTGTTGACCATGCT